AGAAACAGTAAGAAAGGAACATAATAACCATTTTAAATTTCAGAAGCTGTAATAAGGAAAAGGGATTAGGCTTACACTGGTCCAGCTGGCAAAATTAAATCAATGAGGAGCTACAATGAAGTCTATTTTACTATTTCAGTTCAGTCTAAGAAAGTTTCTTATAATTAAATCTGTACAAAACTGGAAGAGTTTGTCCTATTCAGTGTGGGTCAATGAAGTCAGGAGCTTCCCATCACTGTAAGGATGCAGTGTCATAGATGGGGATGTTATATAAAGAATTCCCAAACTAGGTGGCATCTCGCACTACAATTATCTGAAACTTCTTCCAAATCAAACTTTTAGTGATCAGAGCTGGAGAGGGCAATAATAATTCTCTTCCCCTCCCACACCTTACTCTGACCAAAGAAACAGCCCCATTGCATCCAAGCTCCATTCAAGATACAGAAACCCAGTGGCTGATCTGTCTTGGTGATTCTCAGTGAGAACACTGGGAACTGGTCAAGGTTTGGCTACTCTTGCAATTTCACATGCCAGCTTTGTCCTTCTCTAACCTGTTCTTCTATTCACCTCCCTTTCCACCTACATTCAAGCTGTCCATTTTAATTACTGGGAAGCTGCATAAATTTCATATCAAATCATGTACTTGCTGAATTGACTCATTTTATCCACCAACTTTCAAACATGTGGGTATTTAATTAAAGCTTTGGATTGATGATTTCAACAGATAAAAATGGGGAGGACTCCATGCCATATTAACTTTGTAAAAGCATCACCATCTGGTTAAAAGAGGTCACAGACAAGACTAGTTCAAATTGGCCCACATAGGAGGTGGTCAACAAGAAAAGAATTCTCCAAAATGCTTAGCACAGTGCTAACCATGCAAGTTGGGGTTCCGGAAAATTGTTAGGAAGTAAAGAAATGGCCTCACTGTGTCTTCAATTTCTAGAACAGCCCTTGCTCCCAAGGAATTTTTACAAAGAACTCTTTTAAAACTCTTCTGTTAAAAATGTATTTTAAGACACCACAAACGTGAAGTAAACACTCTCCCCTTATTTGCACAGATTGAGAAAGCACATCTATTCAACTTGAATGTGATCGAGATGAAATTTATGAAAGGAAAACTCGTTATTATCCATACTGCTGCTCTCCTCCTGAGTGTTCCTCAGAAGCATAGAAAACGAGTTCTGAAAGCGAATTTTTCCTGTGTTCCAGGGAAGAGGGGAACGTGGGGCCTCTTGACCTATAAAACTCAATATTTTGGAACATCCATAATTCTCTCAAGCCTGTGCCAGTCAAATAGAGACTCCCTTCGGCAAAACAACTGCCAGCCAAAGCTGGAGAGTAAAGCTTTCATGCTTAGGAGTTGACAAGGACAGGATTTAAAAGCTCCCTGGAAAAAAAAGTCTCAACTTCAGCTTGCATTACAAACTGTTGGAAAAGACAGATGGAGGGGATGACAGGAAAAGCAATTATTTCTTCTGGGCTTCCTCTCTGTCTGGATTCTAAGGAGACGAATACAAAATTCCATCACAGATTGAAATGCTATCTAAACATTCTTGAAAATGTGCTCTTGCTCTCTGAAATATGACCTGCTCTGCTGTAGTAACTTGTAACCCATTACCATATGAAGGTGGGGAGTACCGACATTCCTGCAGCCCACCTACTTCTGGGCCTGACTCCCCAAATTGAGTTTGTGACCCCCAGCTTAAAATGTAAATAACTAAAAGATGTATATTCACATACCATGACCCACCAAAAGTCATGATGAATCATCTGCTTTATTTTCACATTCCTGGAGTTTTAAATACCTGTGACTCTCTTGAGTATTTAAAAGTTTCTAGTGAGCTATTCCAAGTGAAGATTGAATCACACTAAACAGTAGTGCTATTCCAAATAGTAGTATACTGGGACTAGTCATACATGAATCTGGGCAGGGGTATAGCTCAGCAGTAGAACATAAGGCCTTGGGTTCAAACCCCAACACGGCAAAGAAATAAAAATCTCATGCAAGAACCAAGCTTTCAACCACTATAAAGGAATACTCAATAGGGCTAGGGATGTGGCTCAAGCGGTAGCGTGTTTGCCTGGCATGCGCGCGGCGCTGGGTTCGATCCTCAGCACCACATACAAATAAAATGTTGTGTCCACCGAAAACTAAAAATAAATATTAAAAATTCTCTCTCTCTCTTCTCTCTCTCTCTCTTTAAAAAAAATAAAGGAATACTCAAAAACTGATTAAAATGATGTTTTTATGGTCAAGAACTTTTGTTTATTTGTAATCAACAATCATACACACACCAAATATTCATTACAGCTAAATAAAATGTTGCACGTGGACTATGGGGACTGAAATATGAAGATGAGAAAGATGTAGTTCTTACCTTCATGAAGCTTAAAAACTAATCAAGGGGACAAAACGTATTTACCAGTAAGTTAAGGGAGACCACACAACCCAAGACAAAGCATAAGCAGAAGACTGTGGGAATTCTGGGACAGACAGAACACACATCTGAATGAGGAATACTGGGATCAATCTTCTCCTCTGTAGAATGAGAGGAGTAAGCCAGATGAATTCAGAGTCCCTTTGAGCTCTAAAATTCTGATTCCTTTGATGTTACCCAGATGAGGTAAACATATCACAAAGGAAAGATTATTTAAGCCAGCCCTTAGATGGGTAAGATTTTGAAATGTAGCTATTGGAAGAAAGAAAGAGAAGAAAAGACATTTCAGACCCAAAGAAATACGTAAGCATAGGCCCAGAAAGCGCAGAGCATGCTTGCAGGGCACCAAGTCTTCAGTATGTATGGAATATAAGGACAGACAAAATCAGAAATGGAGACTGAAGCCTTGAATATAAAGCACAGAAACTTGGATTTACTTCATTTAGTAAGCTAGAGGCACTGAGGTTTCTGAAGAGGCAAATGACATGACTAGACACGTTAGAGAAGTTAATCAGGGGGCTGGGGATGTGGCTCGAGCGGTGGCGGGCTCGCCTGGCATGCGTGCGGCCCAGGTTCGATCCTCAGCACCACATACAAACAAAGATGTTGTGTCTGCCAAAAACTGAAAAATAAATAATAAATTTTCTCTCTCTATCGCTCTCTCTCACTCTCTCTTTAAAAAAGAAAAAGAAAAGTTAATCAGTGTAGAGTGTTTGTAGGTTACCCTGTTCCTCTTCATTATCTCTGAGGGCCCAGTTTGCATGGGCCTATTCTGCCAGAGAAGCAGTACTTCTTACCTCAGAAAGCAGAAACAAAGCAATAAGGGCTAAGACCATACAAAAGTCAGGAAGCCCGGCACAGTGGTGCATACCTGTAATCCCAGCAGCTTGAGAGGCTGAGGCAGGAGGATCGCAAGTTCAAAGCCAGCCTCAGCAAAAAGCAAGGCACTAAGCAACTCAGTGGGACCCTGTCTCTAAATAAAATACAAAAAAGAGCTGGGGATGTGGCTCAGTAATCTAGTGCCCCTGAGTTCAATCCCTGATACCCCTCTGCCAAAAAAAAAAAAAAAAAGTCCAGGAAATAGGATTGGTTTTAAGAACCTAGCATGTCTTCAAGCAAATACTGATTATGATAACAGGAAGACAGATGACTTACAAATAGGCCAACAAAAGAAGATTGTTAAGAGGGGGGGAGAAGCCATAAAGTGTGGGAAAACAGAAAGATGAATACAACTGAAATTGGAGAAGAAAGGACTCATAACACCTGTGGAGCCAGTAGCAGGGGAAACAGAAATATCAAAGATCAGGAAATTTCTAAGTAAGATTACACCCTCCCCTCACCCACACTAAATGTGGGCAAGCATAACGAACATTTTCAGGAATTAATTGGACTAAAAAATGTCTAACAGAAGAGATAAAAGGACCAAGGCTATGCATAATAGCGCTCTCCTGACTGAACTAAACAAGCACTGAAGAGGCAGGACCAGGCGCTGTGGAGAGGAAGGCTAGAAAGGCATGCTCAGCATTTCTGTTATGACAGTAATTTCTGAAATACGATACCTATACAGAAGAACAGAATCCAAATAAAAAGGAACATGGCTAATAGATAACATCTGGCCTCTCAATCACTGAAGAATACCTCCCCCACACCCTTCTTTTCCCTTTCTCCCCTCTCAATACCTCTCTTTATTAAGATCCCAAAAGAACTGTAAAACTCTGAAATGAATCCATAGTTACCTGCTTCTGACAAAACTAGGCATGAGGAACTGTAGCTGTGTCAGGTTACCATCTTTTGAAGCAACAAACCCCCAACAACTTACCTGATAGACAAAAGCAGTCATCTTATTTAGCCATAGTACACAAAATAAAAGAGACATCGGGTACTAAGTCAAAGACAAGGAAACCAATTTGCTCATTAAGCCTGCATGTCCCTGGCCTTGAATGAGCTATGCTATTACACATGATCCTGATCCAAGGGACACTGAGTGACAGCTCAAAGCTGATCTGGGCATCCTACCCCTGCTATGCAGCAGGGAACAGGCGTATAAGTCATGCACATTTCCTGATGTATATGGAACAGAACAATAAAAAAGTGCTCTGCAAACAGATCAACATCTTGTTCACTTGATTGTTGGGTCTTCTAGAAATTAAGGGAGTATAATTTTCTTTTTTTTCTTTATGGATGAAGTTGAACATCTTTTTACATTTGTTTATCAGCTACTTGTGATTTTTCTGTGACTTTGCTGTATAAATTTTTTGTCCTTTTTCTTTTTTTATTTTAAACATCAGAAATTTATTGGTTGCTCAAAACATTATATTGATCTTGACATATCATATATCCTACATTTGTTTCAAATGGGGTATGAATTCTTATTAGTCCCACGTGTACAGATTGCAGGATCACGTTGATTATACAGCCACATTTATACATACTGCCAAACTAGTGTCTGTTGTATTCTGCTGCCCTTCCTATCCCCTTCCTATCCCCCCCTTCCCTCCCCTCCCGTCCCTCTACCCCATCTAAGGGAGTATAATTAATATGGAGGAATAAATTACTTACTTGCCTTCCATCCTGCCCAACATTTGTCTGACCTCTTACAACTGTTCGAATATTGTCATCCAGTCTCCTAGCAAAAAAAGTTAAAGGATATAAATTATTCAAAAATCTCTACTTTAGGTGAACTATAAGAAAAAATTTGGTAATTTATCCATCAGCTTCTACAAATTGCACCTACTTATCCAGAACATCAAACAAGAGTGAATGAAATAAAAATGAGGACTTGAACCTAAGGGGCAGCAACAACAGTGCAAAGCCAACCCCAGCGTAGACTGATGAGTTTTTTGTTTAAAAACATGGCAATTTTTAGACCAGGCACAGTGGTGCATATCTATAATGCCAGTGACTCAGGAGGCTGAGGCAGGGGAATCACAAGTTCAAGGCCAGCCCTCAGTAACTTAGAAAGACCCTGAGGACTTAGCCAGGGCCTGTCTCAAAATAAAAACATTAAAAAAAAAAAAATGGCTTGGGATGTGGCTCAGTGGTTAAGTACCCCTGGGTTCAATCGCTGGTACCAAAAAAAAAAAAAAAAAAAAAAGTCTACTTTTACTTTTCAGAGCTGCTTTAAAGAACCAATAAAACCTTTTTATTTTTCATGGAATAAATTAGGAATGATAAAGTTGCAGTAGCTCTATAGGAAGAAGCCAGAAAAATACAAATTACCACACACAAAATCCTTTCTTCGGTGACCTTAAAAGAGTCAAGGAGCCAAGGTGATATGTGAAATCTGTGCTTACCCTATGTACCCCATCATGCAATGTGTATGAGAGAGATTGATGGCTTCCTGCTCCTCTTTCCTCTGCAGTTCAACAGGCTGAGCAGAAGGATCTCAAGTTCAAAGCCAGCCTCAGCAACTTAGTGAGGCACTAAGCAACTCAGTGAGACCCTGTCTCTAAATAAAATACAATAAAGGGCTCGGGATGTGGCTCAGTAGTTGAGTACAATCCTGGGCACAAAAAAAAAAAAAGAAGAAGAAGAAGAAAGAAAATACCTAGTCCATAAGTGATCTTTGAATCACCAGGGAATTTTCATTTTCCATGCAAACCCTGGACAACTTAGTGGTCTCTACTAGAATGTTACTGCTGAAGCCCAACAAAACAATAGGAAGCTCTTTGTGCTTCCTAAAATATGGATGCAACAACACACACATGGGGCAGAGACTTGCACACAAATACCAAAGGTCGTAGAGAAAAATTTCATATCCTGGGTTCAAGATGAACCCTTTCCCTCAATAGTTGAAAACAGACACAAAAACCAAACTATATTTAAGGCAATGAAATCAATCTATTTATACAATGAGCATTTATCAAGTACCTGCCATGTGTAAACCCAGACACGGATAAGCCAGAACAAGATTATTGAGCAGGAAGGACACCTAATGACCACCCTGAGCAATCACATCTTGGGTTAATCACAATGTTTAATCCTGTGCCACCACCCAGGTCAAGCAGATCTGACATTATTAGCTAGTAGGCAACCAACCATGTGTATCACATGTAAGCCTAGGTTCATATCTGACCCTTGGGAATACAGAAAAAGGAAAACCCACTAGAGAAATAAAACCACTAAAAACAGTCAGGAGCTGTGATGCATATTTGTAATTCCAGCAACTCGGGGGCTGAGGCAGGAGGATCACAAGTTCAATGCCAGCCTGGGAACTTAGCAAGACCCTGTCTCAAGATTAAAAAAAAAAAAAAAAAAAAAATTTATAAAGGGCCAGGGTATAGCTCAGTGGTGAACCAGAGTGCCCCCGGGTTCAAACCCCAATACTACAAATAAATAAATAAATAAATAATAAAACATTTAAATAAGAAGCTTTATAATTAACTTTTATTATTAACTACTATGCTTTTTTTTAAAAAAGCAAACTCTATTATAGCTTCCTTAATTTTTTATGAATAATTCAAGACTGGCTAAGAATGAGTTATTGTTTTTTTTTTTTTTTAATTTGTGTGTGTGTGTGTTTGTGTGCGTGTGTGTGTGTGTGTGTGTAGTGCTGGGGATTGAACCCAGGGCCTTGTACAGATGAGGCAAGCACTCTATCAACTGAGCAATATCCCCAGTCCAAGAATGGGGTTTTTGGAGCTGGGGATGTGGCTCAAGCGGTAGCACGCTCGCCTGGCATGTGTGTGGCCCAGGATCGATCCTCAGCACCACATACAAACAAAGATGTTGTGTCCGCCGAAAACTAAAAAATAAATATTAAAATTCTCTCTCTCTCTCTTTAAAAAAAAAAAAAGAATGGAGTTTTCATGGACATTCAGATAAAACAAAAATCATTATTTTTTTTAATTTGAAATTTCAGTCATCTCAAAGAAAAGTATACTTTTGGAATGTAATTAACTAAATTAATAACATACTTTTCATTAATTGACAATTGTATGATGTTACTTACCTTATTTTCAGTCTAATTTTGTTCACAACTTCATCTATATTTGCCAGAGACTAAAATAAAGAAGAAAAGAGAGTCCAGCTGTTATTTCACTTCCTGGAATTCCTATTTCACAGGGAAATGATGAGCTATAACATCCACTTATAAAATCTCAAAAAGTTAATCTCACAGTATGATACCATTTTTACTTTTTTAAAAAAATAAGGGGCTGGGGTGTAGCTCAGTGTACATTTGCCTAGCATATGCAAGGTCCTGGGTTCAATCCCCAGTACTGAAAAAGAAAAGAAAAGAAAAAAGAAAAGCAGAACTTGCCAACCACTGCCAAATCTAGCCCAGAAAGTATTTTTTGTAAATTAAGTTTCACTGGAACATAGCCATGTCCATTCACTTACATACTGTAGCTGCTTGTGAACTGCAATGGAGGAGTTGGAAAGTTCTGACAGATACTGCCTTGCTCACAAAGTCTAAAATATTTACTATCTGAACCTTTAATAGAAAGTTAGATAATCCCTAGCATATAAGATTGTAACAAATTCATATAATAAAATATAGCAAAGAAAATAAATTATAACTATTACAACACACAATAACATGGACAAAATCTTACTAACATAATATTGAAGGGGGAGGAGCCAAAACCAAGAGTATATACTGAATGATTACATTTATTCAATTAAAAAAAAAAACATGTTAGAAGCCAAAATAGTGATTATCTTAGAGGGGGCTAGTGACTGTGAGGAAGCAAGAAAGGCCTTTGAAGATATTTTATTAAATGTTTTCTTTAAAAAAAAATTTCTTAAGTTATACATGGACATAATACCTTTATTTTATTTATTTATTTTTATCTGGTGCTGGGGATCGAACCCAGTGCCTCACAGGTGCTAGGTAAGCATTCTACCACTGAGCCACACCTCCAGCCCCTAAATGCTTTATTTCTTGATCTGGGTGGCGATATTCCTTCTGTGAAATTCGTCACTATTCACTTAAGATTTGTACCCTCTTCTATATCATGTTACACTTCAACAAATAAATAAATTTATTTTTTAAGCTTAATGAAGAGCCATTAGAAAAAAATCTGGAAGGGCACACACTAGCTATTGTAACAAAGTAGAGCAGCTGTAATCTCTGAAATCTGCATTAATAGTTTTAATATATAAAAAGAAGAGATATTTAATTTTTCTTCTTTTTGCTTATGAGTATTTTTGATTACTCTATGTTGACAGGTACTGCTACTGTGATTATAATAAAGCTTTTAAGATAATGACAAAAGGACCATTTCTGACTTTAGAGATGAAAACAATGTGAGGAAATAATGCCCTCTAGTGGAAAAAAGAAGGTACAATTTTATGGTACCATTTTAACTCCAAAGTTTTAAAAACTTTATAAACCCTCAACAGATATTTTACCTCAGAAGGAACTGGAGGTAGTGCAGGAATTGTGCTTATAAATTGCTCCTGGCTACCTCTTCTGGCTGTAGGAGGCCTAGAGGCTTCCAGGAGCAGTTCTGGTAAGAGAAACAGGTCCCAAATGTTTGAGATGTAAGACTGGACTATTCACATCTTGTCACTGCTCTGACTGAGCCAACCATTACTCAGAATTTTCAGAACTCCAAAAACAGACTGAGGTAAGGATGAACCTCAGAAAAAAGAAGTCTCTTTAACTGAGAAATCCATTTCAACTGGTTTCAATCCTATTCTGTTAAATCTGTCGATTCAAAACTGGATTGGGTAAGATTTCCATCACCATCACAGATATAAATGACAGCCAAGTTGTCACAGGACCTGGGTTTTAGCCTACCTCCACCACTGCTACTAACTTGCTTCAGGGAAAAAGAAATCTCTCTTGAGTTTCTATTTCATCATATGCAAAATGGGCCTAACAGTTCCTGGCCTATCTCTGCTAAAGCCCATTCTTTCAAAAGAAATATTTTTGTGGTACTTTAAAAACTATTTTTTAAATTTTTTTTGTAGTTGTAGATGAACAGTATACCTTAATTTTATTTATTTTTTAATGTGGTGTTGAAGATCGAACCCAGTGCCTCACACATGTTAGACAAGCACTCTGCCACTGAGCTACAGTCCTAGCCCCCCCAAAATATTTTAAAAATATTAATATTTGGGAAATCTGGGTGAAGGGAAGCCAAGAATTCTCTGTACTACTCTTATACCTTTTCTGAAAATGGAAAATCCTACCAAAATTGTATAATTTGTATACATATATGATTTAAATTATGAACATCAAAATATTTGCAAGCTAGGGCTGGGATTGTGGCTCAGTGATAAGAGCGTTCGCCCGGCATATGTGAGGCCCTGAGTTCAATCCTCAGCAACACATAATGATAAATAAAGATACTGTGTCCATCTACAACTAAAAATATATTTTTTTTAATTTTGCAAGATATTTAAAATTGTTAAAACATGTACATGACCAAAAATTCAGATAGTAAAAGAGGGTTCATAATGCGATGCAAGGCTTCCAAACTTACCCTGTGCTGTACGACCCCCCCCAGTTCTTTCTCAGAGGCAGTGGCTCTGAGCCAGTTTCTTTTCTACTTTCTCAGACCTAGTCTGTGTTAAAAGCACATCCATGTGCTCGCTTTGGCAGCACATATACTAAAATTGGAACGATACAGATAAGATTAGCATGGCCCCTGTGCAAGGATGACACGCAAATTCATGAAGCATTCCATATTTAAAAAAAAAATAAAAAGCACATCCATAAAGCGTACTGCACCATGCTTTTTCATTTAACAATATAACTTGGAGGTCATTCCATATCAGTAAATACTATTAGTGGTACTGGAACCATTTCCTAAATTTAATAATCCTTGGACCTTAAGCTCTTAGTCAAGCCATAGCAACTTTTCTAAGAATAATAATGAAAAATATTTATGTAGTCAGTTGTTCAACTGCATTACAATAGTGAAGACCTGGAGACAACCTAAAGACCTATTCTTAGAAGAAAAGTTAAATAAATTAGGCCAAATTATCTGATGAACTTTTATGCCACCCCTGGAGACACTAGTCAAGGAGATTATAAAACAAAGTAGACTGCTTTGGGATACTGTACTAAGAAGGGGAAAACATGTCTAAAATACCAGGCACTCCATGAATATAATCATTAAAAGAATAGAAGCTGGGCAGAGTAACAGACATCTGTAATCCTAGTGACAAGGGAGGCTGAGGGAGGAGAATTCCAAATTCAAGGCCAGCCTCAGCAACTTAGTGACACCCTGTCTCAAAATAAAAAAAGGGGGCTAGGGGATGTAGCTCATTGGTAAAGTGCCCTTAGGTTCAAAACCCTCCCCCTCAAAAAAACTAGAAAGAAACATCCTGAAACTACAGAATACTTGATTGACTGTTATATGGACCCATGGATAACCACTTTCATATTTAATTTTTCCAGATTAATTGATTGATTCATTCATTCATTCATTCATTTTCTTTGTACTGGGGTAGAACTCAGGGGCACTTCACCACTAAGTACATTCCTAGTCTTTTTATTTTTACAATAGGGTCTCATTAAGTTGTTGAGGGTCTGACTAAATTTCTGAAGCTGGCCTTGAACTTGCAATCCTTCTGCCTTAGCTGCCAGAGGTGCTGGGATCACAGGCATGTATGCTGTACCCAGCCAAATTTTCCAGATTTTTCTACTAGAGAAGTAAAAGGGAAAAGGTGCTACCACTTGATTTGGGTTTATTATGCAACACTGCTCTAGACACTACAGAAAGTATTTCCCTTAATCCTCTCAACCTAATGAGATCCTGTCTTTAAAAAAAAAAAAAATGCTAGGATATAGCTCAGTGGTAAAGCATCCCTGGGTTCAATTTCCCGGTAGAAAGGAAGAAAAAAAGGAAGGAAAGAAGGAAGATAGATTGATTTGGAAAATATGCTCTGAATGGAGAGATGCTCTAAGATGGAGGAGATGACATGAGATTCAGTAAGTTTGTCTGATTCTAAGGTCTCTGCTCTTTCTTACTCTATAATGCTACCTCTTGTGCAATGGGTCTTGACCTACTTTTTCTGCACCCCCAAATACCTGACAGATATGAGACACTTTCTCCCATCATTTCAGTACCTCCTTATGGTAGGAATCCTTCTGGAGTCAGGGGAAAACCAGTAGGAATCCAGACTGGCTTCCCTTGATGAAGGTGATATAACCTCTCTGAGAATCACTCATCTGGTTTAGTCTTAATGAGGTTGTACAGTTTTAATTGTATAAGATTTTTAATGTTTGAATTATTGAAAAGTATTCACTGATTTTAATGACAATCCATGCTGATTACAGAAAATGCAGAACAAGAAATATAACCCTGTGTTCCCAAGAGTATAGCTACTATTAGTATTTTTGTATATTGCGTTTTATTCTTCTATGAAAATATATGGATTTTTAAAAAATAAACTGAGCCAGATGTGGTGGCACATGCCTGTAATCCCAGCTACTCAGAAGACTAAGGCAGGAGAATCACAAGTTCAAGACTAGCCTAGGCAATTTAGTGAGACCCTGTTTCAAAATAAAAATTAAAATGGCTGGGAATATAGCTCAGTTATAGAATGCCACTGGGTTCAATTTCCAACATCACAAAATGACAACAAAAACAAACGAACAAAAAATTGGGGACAAGTAATTAGATACCTTGGGTTTTTTCACTTAAAAATATTAGATTCAGAACACTCTGGGAGTTATTAAAAGTTATTTTAAATAGCTCCCTGTAACTTGTTTTTTCAAAGTTCTAATTATATTAGTTTTTCTTTTTCTTTTCTTTTTGAGACTCAGTTCTTTTCTGGGTCTCACTACATTGCCCAGGTGGATCTTGAACTCCTGGACTCAAGCAATCCTCCTACTCAACCTCCCATGAATGCTGAAAATATGCTAGTTTTTCATAAATTTAATTTAATTTTCTCTTAATTAAACCAACAACATGATGGATGATTATCTTCAGTTTACTGCTAGGAGACTAAAAAGGTTTTCCAGATCATTGTTACCAAACCCAGATACTCTTCAGAATCACGTAGGGAACTCTGTTAAGTACAGGCTGAACTTCCCCTGGACCCAAACCTAGTGAAATAGAGACATCCAAGGACCAATCCACACTCCAGCCTCCAGGCAAGCACTTGCCACTCAACAGATCCCCTTCCTTGGAGTGACACTAAATCTACTGTTCACATACTAACATTTTTTAAAACAATCTAAACTCATAGTTAACAAGTACACACTGTAGGTCCATGAAGTATATAAGTGGCTTTTGCCCAAATTTAGCAGTAGTTTTAAAAAAGTGACATGTTAGGCTGCTACTTTCTGTTACTTTTTCATTAAGGTTCATGGGCATCTGGGTTGGTAAATGAACTGCTAAATATAATTCTGGGACCAGGGAAATAAAGGCAACCCTGTGTCATATGCTTTGAGTTACCCTAAGAAATGTCACTATACATTATCATGCACATGGAGGCCTAATTGGACAAGACATATAACTGAATCTGTGGAGCAACAAATGTCAAATGTCTTGTGCTACTTTTAGCAATTAAAAAAAATACATACACAATCATTTCAGGAAGAGGTAAGAACCCATGTAATTTTCAAATCTAACACTTTGTTCAGATAGCTTTCTTGATAAGGTAGGAGAAGTGAACATTTATGTGGCTAAAATTGCTGTCCTGATGCCAATTGTTACCAAATGGTTATCTCTAGCTAATTCCTAAAATTCCTGTTTCACAGAAAATGTTGAGCTATAAAGATTATTTGTGAAATCTCCAAAAAGACAATCACACAATATATTATTTTTAAAACTTTATTTTAAAAAATTATGTCCATTAGAAAGTTTGGTGCAGTTAGAAGAATAACTTCTAATAATCCAGAGCACAATTAAGATAATTAACAATTAACTGCATATTTCAGAACAGTATTAAGAGGATTTTGAATGTTCCCAACACAAAGAAATGACAAACGTCTGAGGTAACAGAAACACAATCACCCTGATCTAATCACTACACATTGTATACATGTATTGAAATGTCACACTGCACCCCATAAATATGTACAATCACTAGGTATCAAATAAAATTAGAGCATTTTAAGAAAAATAGAACAGCAAACACATAAACAATTCAAAAAGAGAAAATTCAAAAGAATGTATGTCAAGATATTAACAATGATGGGGATTATGCATTCCATACTCAAACATACAACTACATATTTCCACCTTGATGACCCAAATGTGTTCAAAACTGAGCTCATGACATGTTCTCTTCTGACTCTACTTACAACTGAAACCTGTTTTCTTTCTCTCAATACTGGGTAAAGGTGTCAACACCTACTCAGTCTATTAGGCTATAAATCAAGCTCAAAATCCTTAGAGTTGCCTATAATGCTCAGTTAAAATGCCATTTCCTCAGGGAAAGCTTTTTTGGATTCTTCAGGCAGCTTTCACCATATTTAGTGGTCTTCCTTCGTGGCACTTTTAAACTGAGCGCTCTTTATCACTCCTTGCCCTGGTATTCTCTCTGAATAATGAGAACAATAACTATGTGGAGAATATATCATTGTTAAGTGCTTACAACAGCACGTGGTACACAGTAAATACCCAATAAATGTTAACCATTATTATAGTTGTAGCAGAAGTTAGGACTCTTTTAAGAGCAAATAACAATAATAATGATACAAACAAGTCACTGCAACTTCATAATTCACTCATAATGTGCAAATAGTATAATTAATTATTGGGAGAGACTATAAATTCCACGTTGGTAAGGACCACATCTGTCTTAATCACTCTTGCTCTCTACATTTTTTCCTTCTTAGAAGGGTAGGCAGAGTAGATATTTTTAAAATGAATTTTAGATTCTATATGAGCCTCGACTTTCATCCCTTTAGGCAACAAACTATGTCACTTCTGTCTCCTGAGTAGTTCTCAAGTCCTGTTCTCTCCATCCCATCACCTTCACTCAGGCTTTCAGTGCCACTCTCAAGGGACCCACTGCATTAGCCTCCTAATTGGTCTTCCTGCCTCCAATGTTTAGAATGACCTTCTTTCCCTTGTATTCCCAGAAGATTTACTTGGCTGTTCTCTCTGCCAAAACAATGTTCTGAAAGATTGCCACAAGCCTGGCTCCTTCATATTTATCAGGTCTCTGCTTGAATGAAACTGCCTCAGGGAAGCTTCCCTTTAAGCTCTTTTTGCTTTATCCAAAGGACCCCTACCCAAGCCTTCATGCTCTATCACTGCGCCACCTGCTTTTCATTAGATCATTAATCACACTTGATAATTTCTTTCTTTCTTTTTTTTTTTTGAGATGAGGATCTCACTATATTGCCTAGGCTGGTCCCAAACTCCTGGATTCAACAGCATTGAAATCTGCTCAATCTAAGGGATCCTGGCTTGGAAATACCTATATAAAAACAGGAGATTATAAATTAAAACATCACGTTGGACACCTTAATGCTGGTTGAAGCCATCCTCCTGCCTCAGTCTCCTAAGTAGCTGGGACTACAGGCATGCCACCATACCCAGCTGTAATTTCTTATTTATTTATTTATCCATTTATTTCTTGTCTTCTTCCACACAGTAGACTCCATAAGACCAGGAATTAACCTATCATGTTTACCATTTCTCCCCAGTTTCAAGAACAGTGCCTGGCACTTCTTAGTCACTTAATAAATGGTGGCTGACTTTGACTACTGAATGAATAAACAAATCCCTCAAGATGTGGCAGAGGGTTGCCTGAGGTTTTAATTTCCCTAGGAAGAATTATGCTTTCCCTCCATACCTCTTACAGCATTCAACATTGTCTCCCCCTACTTAATTATGCACACCTCAAGGGCAGGGACTGGGTTTTATTCATCTTTGTAGTCCCAGCACCTGGGACAGTGACCAACAACACATGACAGGTGACTACTGAATAGCTGCAGAATGAATAAGTGAAAACCTAAGAAAAACTCCAGCTGCTCTTCTACCAGCTCTGCTGCTTCTAATTCTTGTCTATTGTAAGAAAAACCCAGCCACCTAGGCAAATCAGCCAACAAAATGACATAAAACAGAAAGTGTAAAAATTTACATTTTGAAATAGGAGTGAAAGCTGCTTTATGACTCAGGGCTTATCCTGCCTGCCTCACTGCTACTTTTCCCTACCATGTTATAAAAATTCTTTCTACTTATTCAAATACAACAGGAAATTGAACTAGGGAAGGCGGGGGGTTGTCCTTACAACCAAAGGGTACAATTTCTAATAATATGCTTCTAAACAATGAATTCTACTCTAACACAATTGGTCACAGAAGAATTCAATTTGAATTTAACTCTCATTTGTTTATTAAGGGCCCTGAGATTACACGGTATAACAGACCAATCACAATCCTCCAGATGAGCCAGGAACCATTAAAATGAAGGAAACCTAAAACTCTATACTTACTTGTTCCGTTGGGAACAGGGTATTGATATATTCAACAGCATTGAAATCTGCTCGATCTAAAGGATCCTGGCTTGGAAACACCTATATAAAAACAGGAGGTTATATATTAAAACATCATATTGGACACCATAAATACATACAACATTTGTCAATTAAAAAGAAAATAAATTCCACGATAGAGGGGATTAAAAACAACTGTTATCTTTCTACCTTGTTTTATATATTCTTTCTTTCCTATTAATTGGTAAGTTCTCTAGAGATAAAAGGAAAAAAAACTTTTTCATTTTAAAATGCTTTACATGCAACAAATACTCAATAAATTATCTATTAAGGAAATAGACAGGGCTGGGGGTTGTGGCTTAGTGGCAGAGCACTTGCCTTGCATGTGTGAGGCACTGGGTTCGATTCTCAGCACCACATTAAAAAAAAAAAAGTTGTTATGTCCATCTCCAACTGAAATATTTTTTTAAAAAAAGGAAATAGACATGTAATACAATGTCTATTAAATAAATCTTTAAGGGCTGTAGCTCAGCGGTAGCACATTTGCCTGGCATGTGTGAGGCACTGGGTTCGATTCTCAGCACCGCATATAAAAGGTCTATCCACAACTAAAATATATATATTCTTTAATTTTCAACATCTGTAGTTTAACATCTTGAAATAATGAACACAATATGCAAATGTGAAAAGTTCCACAGACATCAATGAAATGTCAACTCAGCAAGCATTAGTAAACCAGCTGATGACATGGTTATTATTAAGAAATCCTTAATAATAGACTTAGGTTCCATGTCTCAATCATGTCTCTACAGCAGAATTCACTATGCATTGAAGCAATCTCTGAGTGTGTGTGTTGCTGGGGAATGAACCCAGAGCCTCACCCATGCTAGGCAAGCACTCTACCACTAAGCTACTCTCCCTGCCCAATTTTTATGCTTCAGTGTTAAGGACTAGCAGCATTCAGGTTCATAGAAGAAAGCAAGAAACCATCTGAGAAATACAGCTAACTCCTTTCAAAAGTCACAAATTGAATAACATGTAACAAGGGGGATTATAAAAGGAGTCAAATGATCTCCTGCTTACTGGATTTTACCAGTTCAAGACAATTTTAATGCTGGAAAGCAACTTCTTCAGAGAAGAAGCTTTCCAAAGAAATATAGTGTCAAAGTATCAAAATGTCTCCTAAGATAGGTCAAAGACAATTTTAGAAGAGTTTAGGGCTTCTACCATGTAAAAGAGAAGCAGAGGGCTGGGGTTGTGAATCAGTGGGAGAGCGCTTGCCTCTAATGAGTGAAGCACTGGGTTCCATCCTCTGCATCACATAAAAGTAATAAAATAAAGGTATTGTGTCCATCTACAAATATATATATATATATATATATATATTTTTTTTTTTAAATTAAAACAGAAGCAGATGTGAGGCAGATGACAGGGAAAAAAAAAAAAGAGAGAGATTCTACAATGTTTAACATTGTAGGGCACAGTGGCCCGCATCAGTAATCCAAGCAACTCAGGAGGCTGAGGCAGAAGGATCACAAGTTGGAGGTCAACCCAGGCAACTTAAAAGACCCTATCTCAAAATAAAAAAGAAAAAGGGCTAGGGGCATATCTCAGTGGTGAAGTGCCCCTCGATTCAATTGCCAGTACAAAAAAAATTTAAATGCTTAACATTTCCATTTCTCTAATATACATTTATGGCAGAGATATATCGTATGCACGCTTTATACAACTTCAATTACATACCCTTACCAGAGGGAGTGTGGGAAACTAGGCCTGCCATGAGTGTATGCCCCATTATGAGAATGATATTTCCTCAAGTGGCCTCAGTCTCTGCATTCCTCTCACTGTTCTTGGTTGTTATCCTTGGTTTTGATGTGTTTACATATAACAAAGCTCTTAAACCAAGTCAACTGTTTCATCCAGTGATAACAGCAAATAAGAGATTGGCTCCAATGCTGAAGAAGTAAACTAACAACACTAGACTTATTGAAGAGATGCTTATACATTTTACTTCAAGGACAACTTAAGGAATTGCAAGGATAACATGTGGATATGTAAATTTTCACTTTATGCATGACTTTGGAGCTTAATACCTGGGTAAAGTGGGATTCCATCATCAACCCTTCTTAACTTCTCATGTATCACTACACTTTAAAAGTATGTTATTGTTGGGCTGGGGTTGTGGCTCAGTGGTACAGCGCTTGCCTAGCACATGTGAGACCCTGGGTTCCATCCTCAGCATCACATAAAAATAAATAAATAAAATAAAGATATATTTTTAAAAAGTATGCTATTGCATAATTGTTTGCAAAATTTTACTCAAAACCTCAGACCACTAAAGTAAGAAAAAAATCCTAAATTCATCTTAACATCAAGATGTCTGCTTACTAGATAAACATAATACTAAAATTCAAACATATTCTTTTAAAATAGCAAAAATATGATCTTCTGAAACTCCGGTCAAACAACAACTGATTGTATTCTGCTTCATTCATTAGAGCCCAACAAATCCAAGAGCAACTGAAATGTATGTCATCTACTAAGAAAAAGAGCTGGATGGTGGAGCACTGTGACCTTAACAGAAAAAAAGTTTTGTCCAATGGTCTGGTATCATCAGGATGTACCAAATGTGGTTGGCATGAGCAATCCATGCACTCCTAGATAAACACACATCCAAAAGTCTATAAATGGAACAATACAAAAACATTATTTAATACAATGGTGGATCCATAGTATGAATGGTCAATGTTAATTATTAGTAGAAGTAATGTTTTACTTAGAAAAACTTCCCAGTAGTTGTTAATATGAGGCATAACCCTTCTTAAATAATACCTCCATGACAATTCCTTCTTTAAGGGAGGTTTTCTCCCTTTATAGGAGAGAAACCCTGTACAAAGGCCTAAATCACTACTTCTAATATTATCACTCATAAAATTTTAATAACCTTGAAAAGAGAATTTAGTCAACTAAAGAGCTGCTGCAAAGAAGAGAGGCCTCCTGGGAGTATCCCCCAATGTAATCCAAACTGCAGGAATTTTCAACATTTTAGGGAAAGCAAAGGGTCATTTTTGGACCCATTTTTTGTCCCAATTCTGAGCCCCTCTAGAGGGGAGTGACAAATGAGAGGGTCTGTACTAACCTGGTAAATGAATGCAGCATCATAACCCCCAGAATATGAGGTTGCACTCACAGAGTCCCTTTTTCTAGGTGCATCCTTCAGGCGGTTCTTTTGCCCAAAGACAACCAAGGCCTACAGAGGACGCTTCCCTTCTCCTGATTCAGAAACCCGCGGCCATCTCTGATTCCCCTGCCCACGCCCCTCTTTCAATCCAGCCTCCTCGCTCCCCACCCCACCCGCTCAATTCCCACCGCCCAAAACTGCAGCACCCCCCACACTCCGCTCCCGAGGGGGCGGAATGCTCACCTGCTCGATTGCTAGCTGCACCTCAGGCGTGAGCTGCAGCACGGCTTCCAGTTCCTCCACGAACTCCAGTTCCTCTTCCTCCATCATTCCGCCTCTCAGCACCCTTCTGAACCCCGTCCCCAACCCCCACCCTCAGACCTCTAGCGGACGCCTAGGTCCCAGAAGAGCAACCCTCCAGTTGGAGAGCTCTAACAACCCACTGCTCTGTCAGCCAGCCGGCACTTCCGGGAAGCCGGGCACTTCCGGGATCCAAGGCACTCTGGGATAGCGGAGGACTGACCTCTGGAGGCTTGCCTGTCACCTCTCCGGAGTCAGCCCGGACAGCCCGTTAGCCGCGCAGCCCGGGCTTGCCCTCGACGGGTCCTTAAGATGGGGGCACTCGTCACCTCGCCCAAGGCGCGTCCTCGCTCTAAGGGCCCCGGTATGGGGGACAGCCTAGCCTCCGAGGCGGACGCCTCCGTGAGTGGCAGCTGCGTTGTGACCTCCGGACAGCAACCCCAGCGGTCCGCGAAACCCTTTCGCTCCCTGAGCCCCCTTGGTCAGTGGCAGTAGGGACACCTGCCATCGGGGATGAAATGACCCCAGCTGGTAAGTGGCGATGTTGCCAAAGACATTGATAGGATGGAATAGCGCGTTCACTTAGTAGAGAGAAGTTCCCCGTGTGCAGGGCCACTAGACAGTTTTCTGAAAATTGTGAAGCTGCCTTATGGGATTGGGGGTCGGGGTAAACCTAGGCAGTCCCAAGACCTGAGAAATGTTTACTTTCCAGGACACGGAATATCTCAGATATCTGAATCCCTGTCTACACTCCTGATGAGCTGTGTGATCTTGAACAAATTTCCATCTGCCCTGCTTATCTTGCACTAAATGGGGTGAACATTAAATATTAAAAGAGCTATGAAATTAAACTAGCAATACAGGAAATATTCGGGTGTCTAGCCCCTGTGCCCCAGAAAGGATAAAGAAGCCAGATCACTCTTTGGAACCACTTTTTCTGCATGCACTTAAACAGTGAGGAATTGCAACCAAAGTAAAGGTTGTTTTACCAGTTGAACATTGTGGAATAGTCCCTGATCCCACTGAGTTTTTTTTTTTTTTATGAAAATTGCTTACAGTAAAAAAAAAAAAAAAAAACACAACAATATAATTCCTTATCCCCTCTTATTTCAATATGACAAATAATTATATAAGCAATATAATTCTTAACAACAAAGGAATGCTTAGATATAAATTAACTATGCAATAAAACATAAAATCATGGTTTTCATAATCAATGACATGGGGAAATATGCACAGTGTTTTTCAAACTAAGCAAAATAGGTATTTCAGAAAGCAGAAACTGTATGGAACCAGTGTATGTGTGTGTGTATGTGTGTGTGTGTATTTTGTGGCTATAATAACAAGGATATATTATTTTTTTTGCATTTTTTTCCAAATGAAACTATAGTACTTATTTATTTGCTTATTGGTACCAGGGATTGAACCCAGGGACACTTAACCACTGAGCCCCAGCTCTTTTTATTTTTTATTTTGAGACAGTGTCTCACAAAGTTTCTAAAGCTGGCTTTGAACTTGTGATCCTCCTGCCTCAGCCTCCTGAGTCGCTGGGATTATAGGTATACGCAACCATGCCCAGCTTCTAGTATTTTTGTAATCAGAAAATATAATTACTGTTTTCTAAAAGGAAAAGGCAATTTTATCTACTTGTCCTGGATATTTTTCCATAAAATTAAGATATAATTTACATACAGTAAAATTCATCCATTTATGTTGCAATGCCAGGAGTTTTAGTAAATGCATATAGTCATTTAACCACAACTACAATCCAGTCCTAGGACATTTCCATCATTCCCCTTAATTTCCTCATTCTTGGTTAATAAATTAGCTTATTTTTGCCCTAGAGAAATGGCTTTTCCAGAATGTCATATAAATTCCATACAAACAGAATCACAAAATATGTCACATTTTAAGTCTGGCTTCTTTTGCTTAGCATAATACATTTGGAATTCATCCATGTTTTTGCATGTATCAGTAGTTTATTTCTTCTTTTTTGATGAGTGGTATTTCATTGTATGGATATACCACAATTTATTTATCCACTCTCTGTTTAAAAATATTTGGGTTGTCTCCAGTTTAGTGCAATTATGAATAAAGCTACTATAAACATTTATGTGGAGATTTTTTGTGTAAACATATGCTTTCATTTCACTTGGGTATGTACCTAGAAGTGGGATTGCTAGATTGCATGGTATGTCCACTCTATAAGAAAGTAGTAAACTAATTTCCAAATTGGCTGTATTATTTTCACATTCCTGCCAGCAATGTTTAAGAGTTTCAGTTGTTTCTAGAGCTTATTTTTAATTATTACCATAACAACTAACATTTCCTATCCCTTACCATGTACCAAGCACCATGCTAAGCATATTACCTGGATTGTCTTTTTTAGTTCCCACAACAATTCTGAGATTAGTAGTTATGATTATCTTGATTTAACAGATGAGGAAATGGAGATCTGCTTAAAACATACAACCCAACAAACAAAAACTTGCCCAAAGTCCTATAGCTAAGTCCTTCTTTCTTTCATTCATTCAATAAACTTATTAAATACCTGTTCCTCTTAGTGACAGGCACTAGACTGGGTGCTTGGAATTCATCAATGAATAAAATAGACCAAGTGCTGCCTCAACAAGCTATTTTCATGTCAGGAAAGGGTATTCATACAAATAAATATGTAATAGTGAGAGGTCCAATGAAAGACAAGTAAAGTATACGGTGAGTGACTATTGAGGAGTGTTGGATTTGAAAGTCAGAGAAGGCTTCTTTGAGGAAAGGATTTTTAAGCTGAAGCAAGGGTGAGGAAAAAGGCTAAGAGATGACAAATAGTATGACAGGGCTTTGAAACCAAGGGAAGGGTGGTACACAAGGAAGCCAGAGAAATAGGTAGTGCCAGATAGTGGAAAGTCAGGTTAAAGAACGGAAAGCTTTTGAAGGATTATAAGCAGAGGAGTGTTGTGGCTGTTTGCCATGCCTGTCATCAGCCAGGGTTCCTCCATTTTTGTATCTCCATTTCTGAGCTGCCTGAATTGTGCTGGAGAATCTAAAACCAGGTGACTGTGTCCAGTACAAATTCATGCTTTGATTTCCGCTGACTGTCCTTTTATGTATCCCTTGTCAGCTGTCAGTTGCATTCCCACTATGACCCCAAACTCCCCAAAGCTCCCAATTCCATTATATTCCTTCCATTTGCAGAAACACTAATAATGAGAATATAAATTCAAATTTAAGAGATATACACAATACAAAAGTGTAGATAATTAAAAGAATAGAGGTGGAGGTGAACACTAGGTTTTTAAAAAATCACATTAGGAGAAGTAATATAGACAAGATTGAATATGATAAGCCAAAGAGGGAAATACCTTTAACATGAGAAAACCTGGAAAAACATGTTAAATACTTTGTGGGGGAGGGTAGTGGGGATTGAACCCAGGGGCTTTACCAATAAGCTACATCTCCAGCCCTTTTTATTTTTTATTTTGAGACATAGTCTCCACTAAATTGCTTAGGGCCTCACTGAGTTGCTGAGGCTGGCCTCGAACTTGCAATCCTCCTGACTCAGGCTCCTGAGTTGCTGGAACTGCAGGCATGCACTGGTTGTTATATACTTTTAAGGTAAATAAAATTTGGAAGTTTATGGATATGAGAAATTCAGGTATGAAAATCAGGAACATGTGATCTTCTCATAAATGAGCCAGGTTTTGTTTTTTTAAGAATTTTCTAGCTGGGGCTGGGGTTGTAGCTCAGTGGTAGAGTACTTGCCTTGCACATGTAAGGCCCTGGGTTCAATCCTCAGCACCACATAAAAATAAACAAATAAAAATAAAGATATTGTGTCCATCTACAACCAAAAAAAAATTAAAAAAAAAAAAAAGAATTTTCTAGCTGAATGTGTGGTGCTGCCTGTAATCCCAATTACTTGGGAGGCCAAGGCAGGAGGCAAATTTGAGGCCAAACTCAGCAATTTAGCGAGACCCTCAGCAACTTAATAAGACCATTTCAAAATTAAAATTAAAAAGGACTGGGGATGTAGCTCAGTGGTAAAGCACCACTTAGTTCAGTCCCCAGTATCCGCCCCCCCCCCTCCAAAAAAAGGAATTTCCTGTTGTGCTGTGGAATGTCATACTTTGATGACAAAGGATTATAGAAAACATTTTCTACCTTGAAATCTCACCACATAAGGCATAAATTCCATCTCTAATACTTTATTTTTTTATTTTTTTTTAAAAATATTTATTTATTTATTTATTTTAGTTCTCGGCGGACACAACATCTTTGTTTGTATGTGGTGCTGAGGATCGAACCCGGGCCGCACGCATGCCAGGAGAGCGCGCTACTGCTTGAGCCACATCCCCAGCCCCTCTAATACTTTAAAACAAAGCAAAATCAATCCTGGAGACCACACCTTTTAATAGGCAATGGCAGAGGATAAATTGGAAAAGGAGGAATCCAGCAGGCTCTGAGGGAGTTGTGTGGTACATCTCTGAGGAAACATCAGAGTGACATGGGACAATAACAGAGATTCCCAAATGAGGAAATCTCATTTCTTGTGGTTAAAAAAAATAAAATTAAAATTAAAAAGAAAGAATTGCTTTAAGGATACAGGATGGAAATATAAAGTAATTTAAAAACAGTCTTTGTTAATGAAATCCACTGAGATTTCTAAATTTCATGTGCCTCTGTCAATTTAGTGTTTCTAACTATTATAAGGAGTCTCAAATATCCTGTTATATTTGTGACCTATTTTACTGTTTTTGAAGTAGCTGCATTCAGCTGCATAAGGCCCTGTGTTTTATAGCCAACACTGTAAAATACATACGCACATATTCCAATCTGTCAGAATTACCTGGTCTATACCACTAAATGCCAGTAGATAGCACCTTCTCCCAACACTGGTATTACCAAAAATACACGAATTTCCAAAATGCCCCCTAAGGCTCTCAAATACAATCACGTTTAGATCCTATTGTTAGTATAGGTGACAAAAACTCCCAGACTGTCTTATAGTGGGAAAATATACTGTAGTGTAAATTCCACACAAAATCTTGCTCACGGTGTTTTTTTTTTTTTTTTTTTTTTTGTGCTTCTGTATGGACTGTTTTTAGTAAATGACTCTTCATGATGACTGGTTCTTTTTGTTGTTCTTTATTCCTGAATTTCCTGAACACTGGCATTTGTTTTGATTGACTTTGAGATGGTTCTGAATGTTTTCTGTATCCTAGGCACCAGTTTTGTTTTGATTGGTACTCTGGTTCTCTGTGCATGCCCATTCTTGCTAAGCAGATCATAATCTCAACTAGCTTCAGCAGCTCCCCTGTTCCCACGGTCACATTTGAGGCTGGCAGTCATGCATCTATGCTAGCTCCTAGATAGTTTTAAATTAAACCCTTCCCATTGGCTACATTGGCTTCATATTCAGTAATCTCTCCAATCGATCAAGTGATAATTATGTAGGATCAAATGGCATACTGTTTGTGTAAATCTTATATGTGACAACAAATATAAAAATACTTGTTTTGTAAAACTGATATTAACAGCAATAATTATAATACAGTTACCATTAATTCCTTGTATCTAAAACCCTTAAGTATCTTACAATACTACAGCCACTTCTGGCACTCCTTTCCTGTTTCTTGGTTCTATTTCTGCCTGCTGAGTTTCAATGAGTGCTCTGAGCTGGATCTTGCTGCCACACTTCTCCTGGTCTAAGCCATAGCTCTTAATCTTTTTTTGAGTCTAGACTTCTTGGAGGAGCTGAAGAACTCTATATAGATCCTTTCCTCATAAAAATGCATATTTAGCTGGGCATGGTGGCACACTCCTGTAATCCCAGTGACGTGAGAGACCAAGGCAGAAGGACAATAAGTTTGAAGCCAGCCTCGGCAATTTAGCAAGATTCTGTCTCAAAAAAAAAAAAAAAAAAAATTAAAAAGGCCTAGGGATGTACCTCAGTGGTAAAGTGCCCCTGTGTTCATCCCCAGTACCAAACACACACACACACACACACACACATTTGAATAACACTTTGCATATACTTTTCATGGAGGGGATTATTTTATTGAATCTTTCTGAACTTTTTTTTAACCCATGCCTTCTGCTAAACATAAAAATCTTGTGAACAACCCTTCTCACACAGTATTCTGATAAGAATGATCTTTATCTCACTAATACGTAATAACTTTCTAGCCAAGAGTATTTTGCTTACCTAACTTTTTTAGATCTGCCTCCGAAAATCAGTTAAAAATTATTTTTAAAATATATTATTGTTTTAGATTCTGAGCTTCCTCCACTCCAATTCATCCCCTAATGAAACTCATTAAGAAACCACTCTCACAACCATCATTCGTTTCCAAATCTATAATATCCCCAAATTTGGACTTTCCTCCTTAGGGTCAGTTACATATTTTAAACTGCCTGTGAAAAATCTTTTTTTAAAAAAAATATATTTTTAGTTGTTGATAGACCTTTATTTATTTATATGTGGTGCGGAGAATCGAATCCAGTGCCTCACATGTGCCAGGCAAGTGTGCTACCGCTGAGCCCGGGCCCCAGCCCCCTATGAAAATCTTTACTCTGCTTATTCTTGGTTTCTCTCTTTTTTTGCCCTCATTGGTCTTACCTAAGCATATTTTTAAAATTTATTTATTTATTCTAATTTATCATATATTACAGCAGAATGCATTTCAATTCATATTACACATATACAGCACAATTTTTCATGTCTCTGGTTGTACACAAAGTAGAGTCACACCATTTGGTTCTTCATACATGTACTTAGGGTAATGATGTCCATCTCATTCTACCATCTTTCCTACCCCTATCCTCCCTCCTTTCCCCTCCGTCCCCTGTGCCCTATCTATGTGTTATCTTTAGAATTTAGCATTTAGTGGACAAACACAGTAATCCACGCAGTACATGATAGTGAATGCTTTTAGGAGCTAATAAAACACAGTGGATTTGCATAGTACTTTGTGCATGGCTAAATGTTTCCATATGTTTTTCCTTAGTCTTCACCATCGGCAGGCCAGTAGAGTGAGGAGACTGACATTAATGTCTCTTGTGTTCCAGTGTCTTCTTTTGTTCTTACAACTCTTTTTAAAAAATATTTTTTAGTTGTTGATGGATCTTTATTTTATTTATTTGTATGTGGTGCTGAGAATCGAACCCAGTGTGTCACACATGCTAGGCAAGCACGCTACCACTGAGCCACAACCCCAGCCTCTGTTCTTACAACTCTTAACGTCCCAGAGTTAGATCCTATTACAGTATCACCTTGAAAAATCAAAGGCATTACTTCCCAAGGACTCATGTGATGCCTTGACACTTTAAAAAATGATGACACCAAAAGAATGTTATGTGCATGTTGTGTTTTTAAAATTTACCTTTTGGGCTGGGGATGTGGCTCAAGCGGTAGCACGCTCGCCTGGCATGTGTGCGGCCCGGGTTCGATCCTCAGCACCACATACAAACAAAGATGTTGTGTCTGCCGAAAACTAAAAAAATAAATAAATATTTTAAAAAAATAAAAATAAAAATAAAATTTACCTTTCATGTATTTTTCAAGACTGTTCTTGCTTCATTATCAAATTTCTAATGCAGTTCAGTGGTTGAGCACTTGCCTAGCATACACAAAGCCCAGGATTCAATTCCCAGTACCAAAAAAAAAAAAAAAAAAACCTTCAAAATATCCACATGCATATAGTACTGAACAATGGTCCACACACTTAACAATTAGTGTCATTACTTTCTATGTGCTTGTTATGTTTTTTTTTTCTTTCTACTTATAATACATCATTTTTATTTGAAAAGCTCACACAACCTGGAAGTATGTGGAGGAAAACACGAAAGTCATTCTTTATTCTCCTACCCCAAATACACACTCAAAACCAATCACACATACACACTGCCTTTCTTCACAGCAGCTTGGCAGTTTTGTATTTTCCCCACTAACTCTTTCTTTGCATGATTAGATAACAGTATATGTACCAATCATATTTATAGTTTGAAATTTGTGTATATGAATATTTGTAAATCAATTATATAGTTTATGTATGTAGTTTGAAATCTAGATATATATCGTTGATAAATAAATTATATTAAACTGTACTTATTATTTAGTGATTTGTTCTTTTCCCTTAATATATCCTGGAGATTCTTCTTTGTATCTTGGTCTAGTTTTTATTTTTATTTTTTTGTGTGTGGTGCTGGGGATTGAACTCAGGGCCTTATGTATGCTAGGCAGGTGCTCTACCACTGAGCTACATCCTAAGCCCTAATTATCCTTTGAACATGCTGCAACATATTTAATTACTTTATTGCTAGGTATTTAGGCTGTTTCTGATTTTTTTCTATTACAAACAATACTATGTTCTTTTTTCAGCTCTAGGTTAGAGTTATAATAATATAATATTCTTTAAACACATATTTATCTTCTACTAGCACTGTAAAAAAATGTGTATATCTTTCTTTCCTTAGGTAAACTGGATATTATCAGTTATTTGTATATTATAAAGTTTTTTTGTTTTTTTTTTTTTTTTTTTTTAAAGAGAGAGTGAGAGAGATAGAGGTAGAGAGAGAGAGAATTTTTTAATATTTATTTTTTAGTATTTGGCGGACACAACATCTTTGTTTGTATGTGGTGCTGAGGATCGAACCCGGGCCGCACGCATGCCAGGCGAGCGCGCTACCGCTTGAGCCACATCCCCAGCCCCTATAAAGTTTTTTAATATTGATTTTTTAGTTAGAGGTGGATACAATATCTTTATTTTATTTTTATGTGGTGCTGAGGGTTAAACCCAGTGCCTCATGCATGCTAGATGAGCGCTCTACCACTGAGCCACAACCCCAGCTCCTATTATAAAGCTTTTATTGGCCTTTTTGTATTTCTTCAGTGTTTCCACTTTTTATAATTTGAATAATTTTTCTGAGTCATTTGTGTTCATTAATAATTTGTATAATCTCTGACTAGTATAGATATTAACCCTTAATGTGCTACATACTGCAAATATTTTCTTCAGTTACTTACTTGTCTTTTAACCTAATAGTGCCTTTTGATATACATTTTGGCTTTTTAATTTTATTTTTCTTCCACATATTTTAAATTTTATTTTTAATGTATATAAATTTTAAAAGACATCTGGGATTGATTCCTTGTTTGGGAAGTTATCTAGCCTATGAATTATAAAAACATTTTTCAAGGTTGTCTTCAAATACATTTACAGTATTTAACCTTTGATAATTTGGAACTTATTTTATATTTGAAATGTGATAAAGCATTGTATTAGTTTCTTAAGGCTGCCATAACAAATTATTACAGGTTGGGTAGCTTGTGGAATTTTCTCACAGTCTGGAGGTCAGAATTCTGAACTCAACATGTTGGAGGGTTAGTTTCTAGTAAAACCTTCTTATGCCTCTCTCTCAGTGTCTAGTGGCTGGCAGCAATCCTTGGCATCATTTGGTTTACAGACTTACCATTACAATCTCTTACTCTATCGTCACATTGCCACCATCTCTGTGTCTTTGTATGTCTTTTTCTGTCTCCTTATAGGACACTCTCCATGAATTTAGGTGCCACCCTAATCCAATATGGTCTCATATCAATTCTTCCCTTAATTACTAAAAAATTCACATTCTGAAGTTCTGGGTGGAGATGAATTGTAAGGAGACACTATTCAACTTCTAATTTTACTTTTTTCTTGATGAAAGAATAATGGTTTCTGTGGTTTTTCTTAGGCAGCCCTTCCTTTTCTCACATGGGGTCTTGCTATGGATAAATTTAGTATGTCTGGCTCAGGACTCTGGGTTCATTGATCTATTTGTTTCTTTTACACTATTATAATAAGTTATTAGATATTTTGATATAGAGTAAATCCCCCAGTGTTCTGTATTCAAATATTCTTGACCATTCTTGCACATTTTCTCTAATTTACGTAAGCCTTTGAAAGTGCTTATTGAGTCCATTAAAAACATGTTGATTTTTTTTTAATTGAGATTGCATTGATTTGATAGATTGATTTGGAGGAAATCAACATGTTTACAATATTGACTCTTCCCTGCAGGGCCACATTCTCCATTTGACTTAGGCTTTTATGCATTTTAGTAAAGTTTTGTAGCTTCTTATAGATATTGAATAGTTTTGTTCAGTCTAAAACTAGGCATTTTATAATTAAAAAAATATATATTGTAGGCTGGGGTTGTGGCTCAGCAGTAGAGCGCTCGCCTAGCATGTGCAAGGCCCTGGGTTCGATCCTCTGCACCACATAAAAATAAATAAAATAAAGGTATTTTGTACAACTAAAAAATAAATATTAAAAAATATATTGTAAATGGACCTCTTTTTCCATTTTATTTCTAATTGATGTTTATTGCTTATAAAAAAGTTTTTTGTATATTGTATATTGATCTTATATCCAGCCACTTTACTTAAATTATTTTAATCTCCTATATTTCCATTGACTTTTAAATTTTTTTCTTGATAAATTAGTATATTGTTTGAAAAGAGGGAGCTTTTTATCTTCTAATTGTTTCTTTGAAAACAATGTTTTTCTCTCTTGAGAATTTATGAGTGTACTGTTATATTGGCCATGACCCCAATAGAAGAGGAGTAAACATCAGCAGATTGAGTGAGCATGGCCCTTATAGTCCAAATAAAAGAAAACATAAAATGCAAACCAGTAAAGTCACAGATGATACTGCATAATCAAACAACGGACTTATAACACATAAAAGAAGGAAGGTGGCAACAACATCTTAGCTAGCAAGTGCTCACTGTCCGTTGTCTTGCTCTAATATTATATAAAATCCTTCTCAGACCTCTGCCAGGAAGCTCTGTTGTATTACCTAGCACATGGGAATTTTCTCTGCTTGGGAGAAAAGGAATTTTAGCCTATATAAAGAAAAAACTAGATACTTAAATAGGAGCTTGGGTTTCTATAGAAATTATGATTCTCATTCTCAATACTAAAACTGAGTGCTAACATTAGGTGCTGAATATTTTTCAGATTAAAGTTACCAAAAAAGAAGGTTTCATGGGCTGGGGTTGTGGCTCAGTGGTGAGCGCTTGCCTAGCACGTGCGAGGCCCTGCGTTCGATCCTCAGTACCACATAAAAATAAAATAAAGGTATTGTGTCCAACTACAACTAAAAAATAAAATATTTTTTAAAAAGGTTTCATTTGTATGATCTGTGAACAAATGTGGAAACGTGCTCTCCTTTCTTTGAAAGGTAAACTATAATAATTCAAATGTCAAATTACTTCTAGCTTACTAAAAATGAAGTGTGTGCCAGGCATGAGGGTACATATTTATAATCCTACTCACTTTGGAGTGTGAGGCAGGAGGATCATCACAAGCTCAAGGCCAGCCTGGACAACTTGATGAGCCTCTGTCTCAAAAAATAAAAAGGACTGGGATGTAGCTCAGTGGTAGAATGTCCCTGGGTTTAATCCCTGCTGAGGGCCGGGGAGGTGGGGTGTAGAAATAAAGAAAAGAAAGAAAGAAGATGAAGTTTGTGAAATTTTATTTTAAATAACATTGAAAATGCTTATAAATAAAATATTGATACTCAAAATTAAAGTGTCATCTCAATAAAATATATTACAAATGCACATAAGGAGGACTAGGAAGAATTCTACCAAAAGCTGAACAATAATAACTCTCAGTGATGGCAATATTTGTGATTATGTGGGCATGTATTACTTTTTAATATACTCCTTTTATAATTAAAAAAAAAACCTAAAAAAAAGGTCACCTGCCTTGAATTAGCAAAATAAACCTTTTATGGAATTACCAATGAGACATGAAGACATTGAAAATTATTGGTCTGAAAACTTAGGAAAGCAGCTGAGTTTGTTCACAGGATTTACTGGTTTCTCTAGCTTATTTCAAAGGTAATTTCTATAATGGTTCAATGTCTTTGAATCTTGTTTAAACCTGAGTTTAGAAATGCCTACTTTTAGGTGGGTGTGACTCTGTAAAAAATGCCAATTTCTGCATTTATCACAAAAGAAATGGATATGTGAAAATACTTTGAAAAATAGAAAGCAATACACAAAGGCAAGCACTATATAATCTGTTCTTTGTGTAAATTATGGGTTTTATTGACAGGGATCATTATCATTGTGTACAAGAGCAAAGACTTCCCTGTGGTGTGCAGCTGTGGTCACTGTTTGCAGAAACCATGTGCCTGGGGTGTGACTGTGCCTCTTAGACCCACAATTTGCTTTGCAAATAATCCAGAATAAAACTGAGGAAGCTGCAGTCTGGAGGTGGCTAAGGCCAGCTAAGAGGATCTTCAATCCAATAGATGCTTAGGGAGAAGTTTAATAGCAGGAGGTTGGGCTATTGGGACCCAGGATAAAGAAAATAATCCTTTGTTTATACCCAGCACATAGTTTAACATGTAATTTTAAGAACATTACTCACCTAACTCTCCCAGCCCTGTGAGGCAGGTGGAGGAACTCTCTTTTACATGGAAAGTTTAGTTGTTTGCTCCATGTCAGGCAATTTATGGATAGCAGAGGCAGGACTGGAACTCAGGTTCTCAGATCCCAACCTCACTGCTGTCTGCCTCCCAGAAAGTCCCTTCCATCTGGGGAAACACACAAATCCATATCAGTGCAAGGCTATAATGATCAGGCATTTATTGGGTACAAAATGAAAGAGAAATTAAGAGGAGAGTGTGTAACTTCTTCCTGGTCACATGTCAGTCCTAGGAGCAAGTCACCTCCCTATTTGTGCCATGTGTCTTTAAATGCCATATGGTTTTTGTTGGAACAATGTTCCTTAAAAATCTGTTGCTTTCTTTCTCTTTGTATGCCTCATTTTGTCTTTCTCTATGTCTTCTATCCATTTCCTCTTCTTCCGCTATTATTGTGAATACTAGTCTCTGGATTTGTATCTCTGTGTTCGTTTTCCTGTGAAGGGTGTATCTTGCCCCTTTTATTTCCTATAACTGTGTCTATCTTGTTGTTGTTGTTGTTTTTTCCCCTTCAGGATATTTAACCAGGGCCTCATGCATGCTAGGCAAGGACCCTACCACTGAGCTGCATCCCCAGCCCTTTTTATTTTTTGAATCAGAGCTAACTTGCTGAGGCTGTTCTCCAACTTATGATCCTCCTATCTCAGCCTCCAAAGTTGTCTTGGTCTCTCTGTTTTTTAAAAAAATTTTTATTAGTTATTGATGGACGTTTATTCATTTATTTGTTTATATGTGGTGCTGAGAATCAAACCCAGTGCCTCACATATGCTAGGCAAGTGTACTACCACTGAGCCACAATCTCAGCCCCTGTCTTGGTGTCTTTTGATGTATCTTCTTCCTGTGCTATAACTTTCTCTTTGTGTCTCTTCCTATCACTTCATTTCTCTTTTATCCTCCTTCCTTTGCACTCTCTGAAGTGTGGTCCCAAACAAAATAACTTTTATTTTATAATAGGTTTTGGTTTTCTCTATTAGGATTTTTAAAGTGGATGAATGTTGGAGACCTCCAAACTCTTTTTTTCCTCTCTCTTTTTTGGCAGTGCTGGGCACATAGGGGCACTCTGCCACTGAGATACATCCCCAGCCGTTTTTATTTATTTATTTATTTATTTTTTTGAGACAGGGCCTTGCTAATTTGCCAAGGCTGAGTTTAAACTTGTGCTCCTCCTGCCTCAGCCTCGAGTGGCTGAGATTATAGGCATGTGCTACCAGTTTCTCTTTTATTTCTGAAGCTCAATATGAAGGTGTTTCCTGTGTGAATCTCAGTTGTTTTTCCTGTAGAATCATTTTTCTGGATAGGGAAAAAATATCTTTGATCAGAATAATAGCCCACATATCTTATGATACTCACTTGAGATTTCCCAAATATTTCACATGTAAGTATGATATTTTCAATGTAAGACTGGAGAAAGCAGGTAGCAGACATGGGGAGAGTCCCTGTATCCTCTCCCCATTATCCTAAATAATCGTATCTAGAATATGGCCTACACTAAAGGAAAAAAGGGATCAAAAATTACAATCGTGTACCTCAAATGGCAGAAGAATCCCTCCAGAGCCCTTCCAAACTGGGAGCTTTGTACATTCCCTATTCAAAGATTAAGATTCCAAAGTTGGTAATTGAGTCGTAACTTGGCATCTAGTCACCCAGACTTCACTCTTGAAACCCACTCAAGTAGCAAAATGATACAAACTCCTTAAATCCCAATACTATGGCATAAAATAGTTTAAAAATCACCCTAGAGGGCTGGAGCTATAGCTCAGTGGTAGAGTGCTCGCCTCACATGTGGAAGGTACTGGGTTCAATCCTCAGCACCAGATAAAAATAAAATAAAGGTATTGGGTCCACCTACAATTAAAAAAAAATATTTTAAAAAATCACCCTAGAACAGGAATCAGGAGCCCTTTTGTCTTTCTGGAACCTAGTCCCTTCACAGAGTGGCAAGTCAGTTTACCATTCTACACCTTGGTTTCTTCATCTGTAAAAGGAAACTAATAATATGTTCAGCCTACTTCACTGGCTTACTTTGAGAACCAATGGAGATAATATAAATGAAAGTGCCTAGAAAAATTATAAAAGTCTCATATAAATATAAAATGGTGTTAATAATAGCAGTATCAGAGCCCATAAATGCCACCCTACATTTATGTTTTGAGCAAGCAATTAGGAATAGTGGTTATTAATCCAAAACTATATTGTAAAAAATGATTACTTTCTGGGGCTGGGGATGTGTCTCAAGTGTAGTGCGCTTGCCTAGCATGCGTGAGGCACTGGGTTCAATTCTCAGCACCACATAAAAAAAATAATAATAAAATAAAGATATTGTGTCCACCTAAAACTAAAAAATAAATATTAAAAAAATGATTACCTTCTCTTTGCTTATCAAGTTTGAAAGCAGTGTAGTCAGTCATTAAACACATGACCTTGAAGGCAGAAAGTATTGATTTCAGATTCCAACTCTGCCACCAGCAATGTGGTCTTGGGCAAGTTTATAATTATTGTGGTCTGGGTCTTATATCCCTCCTACCCCCGTCTTATATTGTCCTCTCTACATACACCCCCACCCTGCCACACAATGTTATGAGGAAATAATGAACTAATGCAAGCAAAATGTTTGATATAGTGCCTTCCATATAGCAATAAAAATTCTCAGTAAACATTAGGTTTAAAAAGTATCATTCATTAACCCCTTGAAATGTGCCAGACCTAACTTTAGGGTACAAAATGCAAAGACATACTCTGTTCCAAAAAGCTAAGTCTGGTGGGGAAACATACATAGGAATAATAAGCAGCATGTTTGCTACTCAAAGTCAGATAATAATATGAATTTATACATTTGCTTAGAAGAGACATAGAAATCTGGAGAAGGAAATATTTGATCCTAGAATGTTTTTATTTATTTTTAAACTGGGGATTGAGCCCAGTTTTTACCACTGAGCTACTTCCCTAGCCCTTTTATTTTTTATCTTGAGACAGTCTCACTGTTGCTGAAAGCCTTGTTAAGTTGCTAAGGCTGGCCTTAAACTTGTGATCCTCCTACCTCAACCTCTGGAGTCACTGGGATTACAGGTGTGCACCACCACACCCAGCTGATTCAAGACTTTTGAAGAGGGATGGGGATGTAGTTCAGTAGTAGAGGATGTGCTTAGTATGTACAAAGTCCTGGATTGGATCTGTAGCACCAAAAAAGAAAAGAAAAACCTTATAACTCTTAAGCTTGTTTTTTTTTTTTTTTTTTAAACTTAGGGCTTGGTGCATTTGATTTGGCTTTATCATTTTCCCACAGGGGTGTGGTTACTTGAAAATCCAAGGTTCATGTTTGCACTTGTCGGCTTTATGGTGATTAAACCTAAACATTCTGGTGATTTCATTGGGCATAATGTTGGAAACTGATTTTACTTGCTATTTCTATAGGTGAAGCATCTCCTTTGTTTTTACTTCATAAAGTCCCCTTAAAAAGTGTACAAACAGCTTCTTGTCTAGAGGATAAATTGGTTCCTACCACTTGAAAGTGTTAGCATATTTGGTGCATGTTGCTGATCCCTCTGAGAGAATGCAGGGAGGACTTGTAAACACTTGTCACTCTGAAAAACTGGGGCTGGAGGTGACCAGGATATATGGGTAGGGAATAGAAAGTGGAATGCAGGAGATTTGTTTTTCTGGAGGGAATGGAAAGTTCAGATAGCTATTCTTTGTCCACGTGTAAATTTGAAAATCCAGGAAGACTCATTTGTCAAACATCTTGGTACCAAATTAAAGTGTCTTTCAAATTTCACCATGTATATTATATGTGAATGTGGGAGTTACAGATGTTTCCCCAAGTGGATTAAATTTCAGATTTTCTTTGGATTTTCCCCTACTGTATTGTCAGCTAAATTCCTCATTGTAACAACGTTGGAAAAGTTAAAAGTTGTCTTTGCCCCAAAAGATCACAGCCTAATTAATAACAATAGTACTACTAATAAAGGGAAATTATCTTTTAAACCTATGAAACATTCCCAGATTAATAATTAACTACAAATTTAAACAAAAGCTGTGTTCATGCTCTATATTTCTGTACTAGTAACTGACATGTTAAAAGTAATTTATTGGCATCTAGCAGAAACCGTCTGCCACTTTATAGAGGTCACAGAATCGTAAGAATTTAAAGCTGGAAGAGCCTTTAAGAGCTTGTAATCCAGCCTCCTTCTCATTTCATAACTGAGGAAACAGTGGCGCAGAGAGAGGCTAAGCCCAGCTGTTGCAACACCCTTGAATGGGACTTCGGTGAGCGTTTTGCTTGCTGGCGATTTGAAGAGACCCACAGTACTTTTCATTTGTAGTAGGAATGAATTAATTGTATCAGCCCCCCCCCCCCAGCGCTTTTTGTTAAGTGAGGAAGATGCAGACCAAAGTTAAAACTTCTCTCCCTAGAGGAGAGAAGCCAGGAATATTTAAATTATTGTACTGGACCATGTGATTGGTGCTAAATGAAAATAACATTGATTCTAATCCATTCAAGTTTAGGGCATCTGGCCTGAGAACACGTTGTCAACAACAAAAGTTACCAAGACTGTAAAGTATCTGAATCCAAAGCCAAAACAGAGAAAGGAATTGCGGAATTCTGGGGCAGGATTTAATGAAAGAGCTCTCCACTCTGGAAAAACTGCAGCAGTTGGGGGATGTGGGAAAAGACACCTTTGCCATGCAGAGGACTCCCATCTTTAAGATTCCCATTCGAAAGCAAGATTGCCTGATAGATAAGGCAAGGCGGGCGACAGACCACGATCCCAACCGCCCACTCCTTTCTTGCCCCAAAGAGAGTTGCCCACCTCACTGTTGGCATCGGACAGTGCGCCTGCCGAGGGCTCGCCCCGCCTTGATGGTAGGGGGTCTGGCCCGGGCGCTCGTTCCTGCCTAGCTTTTTCTGCCCTCACCCACCCACCCACCCGCTTTTGCCTGGGTCTGGGGAAGAGAGGAGGTCCGCGGGGGAGGGGGAGGCGTCCGCAGTGACGGAACAGAAGCCCTACAGCCTCGGCGATTCCCGCCACTGATCAGCCTGGCGGACACTCGCGCGTTGCTTGTCCAGAGCGCAGGTCCGCGTACTTGGAACCCGTTCGGCCACGCACACAGCGGCTCGGGTGGGGACAGCTGCTCGCCGCCGCCGCCCACCGCCGGCAGGCCGGGGGAACCCGGGGAACCCTCCCGGCCCAGGGGCGGCGGCGGAGAGACCCCGCCCCGCCCGCGGGCTCGCGCCTATCGCGGCCGCCTCGCTGGTCACGCGGAGAGCCGCGCTGCGGGCTGGGGGCCAGCGCCCGGCGGCTGCCGGAGTCGCGGCGGGCCAAGGCGGGGGCGGAGGGTGGAGGTTAGAAATAGGGACGGGCGGGCCGCGCCAGTCGTCGAGCCGCGCGGAGCCAACCTGAGCCACGCCAAACGGTGCCGAGCTAGGCGGCAGGACCCGAAGCACCCATGCTGCTGACGCTGGCCTGGGGCTCCCTCTTCTTCCCTGGGCTTTTCGCGCTCTGCACCTGGGCGCTGCGCCGCTCGCGGCTGGAATGGACCGACACCGACTACGTGACGATCAGCGCCAGGTACGCGGTGCGTCCGGGCGGCCAGCCCAGGGCTTGGGTGCTGCCCTCCCCACGCGGCCGCGCGCGGCTGCTTGGCTCCCGGGCCCGGCGGCGATCGTCCCTGCGCTAGGCTAAGGGCGGAAAAGGGGGGCGACAGGAAGCGAGGGGGCTCCCTCCCTCACTTCCCTGCTCCTGCCCCTCCGTGTTGCGCTTGCCAGAGTTTCCCGAAGACCCTTTGCGTGAAGAGAGAGGGGACAAGGGCGGAGGACTGCCCACGCGAGTCAGGAGGGAATGTGTGTGCATCTTTCGGAGCCTGCTGCTCACATCTGCCAGTGCTTTGGGGGTCGCAGGGCCCAGCGGCCGCCTTACCATTTTCCTCCGCCCAGGAAAAAGTTGAAGAGTTTGGCTTTATGCTGTCTACAGTACTGGATGGAGCGCGCTTTCTTTCATTTTTCTTCTCTGTCCCACTTTAGGTTGGTTTCTTCAGTGCAGGCTGTGCTGGCCACGGGGTCAGGGATCATCATCATCCGCTCCTGTAGCGATGTGATCAGAGACAGGTAACATCTATTCTCCGATGAAAGAAGTACACATAACAGGGTTGGGGAACTTTTTTTGCAGTTTTCAAATTGTAGTGGCTCACAGGCACCAGTTGTTTATCAAAACATGCTGTTAGGTGGATGACTGGTGGGAAATCTTGGGCACCATAATTAGTGCCTTCCCCCTCTCCTTGTTCTTTAAGCATCCCCGGTTTAGGAGAAAAGAAACTGAAGTTTAAACTAAGAAATGCTAGAGAGCAGCAGAGTCTGAGTCTGATTGGAGGTGGCATTGGAGAACAGTATGATTCAAGTTCTTTGTAAGTGTGAAAATTTTTTAGAAGTAGGAGTATGACTTTTGGTGCTTTTAAATGATCTCAGTGGGTTCTTACTTTGGAGTATGCATTAGCAGAGATAAGTGCAAGTGCAGTTAATAAGGTCCCTCCTATTGACAGGGAAAAAAAATCCACCTCTCCCCCTTTCCCTGCAGATGCTGCTCTTGACTTTCCTTTGAATTTGCTAAAGGTGATGAAGAGGTTTCTGGTGTCTTCAGAATACTGACTTGTATGTCTATTAGACTTCAATCTAGAGGCAGTTCAGGAATGTGCGTCTATGTGCAGCTTCAGTGAGAGAAATAATAAATTAAGGCCAGAATGGTCTATTTTGTTCAGTATTATTTACATCTGGGCAATGATGGCACTTTTTAAAAGGCCATTGTTTTCCACCTGTGTTTTAGAATCATTGTCACTTTCTTCCAGTTAAATTGAAAGGGCTGGGAATGTGGATGTGGCTTGGTGGTAAGGTGCTTGCCTAGCATGCGGGAAGCCCTAGGTTAGATCCCCAGAGCCCACACATGCACATGCACGCACACACAGCCAGTTAAATTGAAGAGTGATAGTCAGATGTGCAGCGAAAGTTTGACAGCCTTTCCTGATTCTTCTCTCATATTGACTATGCCAATTCCTGCTTCTCACCTGTTAAGACAGGAAATGCAAGGGGTGAGTAAGGCATCTCTGTCTCCATGACCTGTGATCTTAATTGTGTTTGCTCCTGCTATGAAGATTTTCATGCTTTTCTTCCTTTGCCTCTTTTTAATCAAAACCAGTTATTGGTACTGAATTATAGATGCTAAGAGAAGATGGAGCCAAGTGACCTTCACTGCATATGCCAAAGGCTAATGGCATTTGTTGGGCTTGGTTCAGTTTGTATTTTAAATTAGCATTTTCTGATCATGCAGCAAGTTCCTTCCTGCCTGCAGTTTATCAAATCAGCTTGAAACCTGCCTCCTCTGCAAAGATTAAACTAACATAAAGGTAGCCTGTAGTTTGAGTTAACTAGTAACATGAGGAGCAGCGCAGCAAGCAAACACTGTGTGTTTCAGGAAAAGCTACTCACACATGATTAACTTATAGTTCTGAAACACCATGGTGGTTCCCTCCCCCACACCCCCGTCAGAATCTGGGTAATTTAGGGGCTTAGGCATATTCAGTAGCAAAAATGAGTTTGGATTTTAGATTCTATATTTTATGTATCTTTATGCCTTAGATTGTTTGCAAAGTAGAGTGACACATTTCTATTCCCTCTGTCTCTGCATGGGTGCACAATATGTGCTAAGGGCACCTAGATCTCTCTCTCTTTTCCTCCCTCCTTTTGTGGTACTGGACATTAAACCCAGAGACCCTCTACCAGTGAACCACACCTCCAGCTCTCTTTATCTTATTTGAGACAGGGTCTTGCTAAGTTGCTAAGGCTGACCTTGAGCTTGGGATCCTCTTGCTTGCCTCAGCCTCCTGAGTTGCTAGGATAAACAGGTGTGTATTACCATATCTGGCTTAAATCATCTTTTAAAAAGACCATTGAGGATTCTTAGACCACACACCCAAATATTTTTCTATTACATGCCTTCCCAATCTATACTTCATACAGAATGTCTATAGATGGGAGGGAGAATCTATCCATCCATTTCTCAAAATTGTGTACAGAGTATGGTATGAGGCCAAGAATTTCATCAGATTTCTTATAGGGCTTTAGATCCCTACATGGGCTGCCACAGCTTTAGGCAGTTTTCCTTATTGAAGCACTTATATTTGAATAGTACCTTTTATACTTAAAAATACTTTTAAGGCTGGCAGTGTAGCTTAGTAGTAGAATGCTAGCCTAGCAAGTGTGAGGCCCTGGGTTTTTTTGTTTGTTTGTTTTGTTTTTTGGTTCTAGAGATTGAACCCAAGGGCACTTAGCCACTGAGCCACATCCCCAGCCCTTTTTATTTTTTGAAGCAGGGTCTCACTGAGTTGGTTAGGGTCTCACTTAGTTGCTGAGGCTGGCCTTGAACATGCAATCCTCCTGCCTCAACTTCCTAAGCCACTGGGATTATAGTGTACACCACCACACTGGTTCGGCCCTGGGTTTGATCCTCAGTATGCAAAAAATAAAAGGACTTCCCTAGTTCTCATTTTTTAATCCTCACAGTGACTGTCAGGAAAGTTAAGACATGGATTATTGTCTTCATTTTACAAAGAAAAGTCCCAGGCCAATTGTATTTAAGATTATAGTCTAGCTATCTTGCTAATAAATTTTCAGGGAACTCTACTGGAGAGTCACAATTTTAGATCTTCTTGAATTGGTACTGGGTGCAAAACATTAAAACTCCAGGTTCCATTCAAGGGGAAAGGCCAGTTAAATTTCAGTCAACCTTTTAGTAATTCTTGTCATCATTTTACTTCTAATTGCTTCAAGAAAGCAACTGAGACCATAAATAGGCAGAATGAGTATTTTGCCTTTTGCCCAAATGGAACCTGGCTAATTAATTCACCTGCAAATGAACTTTATTTTTCATTACTACTAATTTGCATCTACTCATAGTTTATTGATTAGTTATGCTGTGGTGTGGAGTCATTCAGGAACATTTGAAGTGCATGTGACACCCTCTGTATATTCCCAGGGTTGCAATTCAGTGGACTGACTCCTTAGGAACTCACCTAAGACTAGATTAAAAATACAGATTTGAAGCCCTAGGCATATAATTTAGAAACTCTGGGGGAGTGGGTCCCTTAATAAGCACTACAGGTGATTCTGATGGTCAGGTAGTTTGAAATTCGTTTTCTTCTACCTAACACATGGGTGTTCAATAAAAATTTGCTGAGTGAATCTAATCCTTCCCAGCATAGTATATGAATTCAATTTCAATTTTTTAAAACACAAAAATTCTGTAGAAGGTTTATTGTTTGGGAACAATATTATATTAACTGCTGAGATTTTTTTTCCCTTCTAATCTACTCTAGAAGTGCTAAAACTACCATTTTGATTTCACAAATATTGACTCAATCCTATTAGACAAACAAATGAGAACACTTATCCCAGCCCCTCTCCTTTTATTTCTGCTGTAATGTGGTCCTTGGGCTCCAAACTCATTTCTAGGCATGCTTTCTTAGCCAGTGAAACTGGGATTAGCTATAGAATTGTAAAGAAAATGGCCAGGATTGCTTCCCAGAAACTCCCTAGACTGGAGTTGCATGCAGATGACAGAGAAACTCATAGGCTTTAAGTTGGAAAACTCCCAATTGTTGAGCAACTGAGGAGTTAAACTGGAAAGATTGGATTTGTGATTTTTGAATACCTTCTAAACAGGGTTCTTGGTGGGGCTGTTGAATCATTTGTGAATTTTTGTATATTAAAGTTAGCTTTTAACACAAAATGCCAGAAATCCATTATAGATGAGTAACTAAATCAAGCAAATGATGACAGCAGTTACTTGAACACACGAGGCTGAAAGAATTCCTACTTTTTGCTTTTGACACTCATGAATTTGCCCTGTAATTTAGAGAAAGTTGTCCACTCTCATTTATCAGTTTCAACATCTTCATTGTAGTGTTTAGAGTAATAACCTGATTAAATACAAAGCTGAAGGGAACATGTTTGGGAAGAGATTGGCTCTGAGTCTTCCTAATTGACATCCATAATTATTTCACAGACCATCCATATGCTTTCTTTCAGGCACTGGCTTGCCCGAGAATATGTCTGGTTTTTGATTCCATACATGGTCTATGACTCCTACGCCATGTACCTCTGTGAGTGGTACCGAACCAGAGACCTTGGACACTCCACCACTATTCGAAACTTCCTGAGTCAAAACCGCCTCATGATCACACACCATGCAGTCATTTTGTTTGTCCTTGTGCCAGTCGCACAGGTATGGCCTTAGAGGAGAGCAGCTGTGGTCACTCATTTTCTCCTGTTGAACTGGGTATCTTGACTATTACTGGGTATTTTTAAAAAAGAGAGGATTGCCCTGTTAAATCTGAAGTGTTTGTGATCTTCCTTACCAACAGAGTCTTTTAGGAGTCTTCCAGCTTTCTGGATTCCTTGGCATTTGTCAAAGGTTCTGTTTTTAGTTAAATACAGTGTAAAAATGATTTAAAATTCAAATATAAAACTAATAATAGTACCAAAGCATA